TGATGAGGTGGCCGTCCCATTCTCAACACCACCTCTGGCCACGTGTCCTCACCCCCCCCACACGTCACTGACAGTGGCTACAGAGGGACCCACTTCTGGGAGGAAAACTGCAGTAAGTGCCACGTTTGTGCTGTATGGTTAATGCTCTGCTTGTGTTGTTTCTGAGCTGGTGCTCAGCAGTGTCAGGCATCCATCAGTCCTGGTACAAAGGTAGCAGCAAGACATGGAGAGGGAGCTGTGCATCAGCAAGCTCTTGTTCTGGTGCAGCTGTGCTGCAAATCTTCACCCTTTGCTGGTTTTTATCTTAATCTCCTGTTCTAGTATAAGCTTGTGGAGGTGCCTACCTATCCACTCATGACAGAGCTGGCTGAAGTTTAGCCACCTCAAATTGAGGTAACAAAAAGGTGTCTGAGAGAAATCCTCCCATCTGTCTCTGTTAACCAGCCATCACTACCACCACTTCCCATGCTTTGGATGGCCTTACCAGTGCCTGTCCACCTGCTTCATCAGTTCTCAAGCATTGGGATGGGGACCGCAGGCTCTCAGCTCTTGAGATTCTGTCCATGGAACATCTCCTGGTCTCCTCAGAGGATAAGTATTTGAGAAATAGTAAAGGCCAGGTTAGAGGAAGGAGGGAACTAATCTTTAAAATTGGATGAGAAAAAGCTTTAAATACTGAGGCAAAGATCGTGCCAAAGAAGTAAGAGAAGCAAAAGGAAATACATCCTTTCAGCTGAGGAAGGGAAAAGCTCCTCTTCGTCCCCTTGGATCAGTCTGAGATAATAAGACTGCTGCCTTTCTGATTAGTGCTTTGTGGCCCCAGCCTAGGCAGGGAAAATCTGCATTTCAAATGGCATATTTTAAAGTACACAATACCCAGGGGCCCTGCTGCTATTGATTTGCCTCTGGTGGGGTCACTGCCTCACTTTCTACAGCTTTATTAACTGGGACCATACACTGGGCCTCTTTCAAAGTGAAAGGAGAGTGGATGGGACATTTGTCTTCAAGGGGAGCTGGGGAAGGAGTGGGGTGACTTTTATTAGGAATGCCCTGGAGGTTTTATAAGGGAGACTGCTGACCCTTACAGGGCTTGCCCTCCTTTCTAAATTTCCCTGGAGCCACCCTGGGGGGAATGAGGCAGGTCTATGCTGTCAGCTTCTTTCAAGGTGACTGAGTTCCCATCCTCCCACCCCCATGATGCACTCGGCCAGGCTGTGACCATCAGCCACTGGGCTGGGAAGGACCCCCCTCCTCTTCCCCCTTAACCTTTACCTCTCTGAGCACCTCTGATCAGAGAGGGAAGGGCATGAAAGGGAAACATGGCTGCAGAAGGGTGACAGGACTGTTGTCAAGGATTAAGATGTCCAGATATGTTTGGGACATACTTGGGCTCCCCTTTCTAACCAGGAAGCCAGTCAGCTGAGGTACATGGCTGTGTTCATGTATGGGATGCTATACTCCTTCCAGCTCTGGAGGAGACCCTGATTTACCCCACGGGCTGGCTCTGAAAGCTGCAGTGAGGTGTATGTTCTCTGGGTCATGAGGCACAGTGCTCCAGCTCAATTCAATATGCCAGGGAGGTTTCCAGGTCTTCAGGGCATCTTGGGTATCCCCAGAGCACTGAGCATAGCAAAAATGGGGTGGCTGCTCCCTGCAGGATGCCTGCTATAGCAGAAGCAACTGAATCTGGTTTCCAAAATTACAGGTACATTAGGGCACTATTTTTACTGCATTATCTTTTAAACTCTGAGATAAATTTAACCTCTTTGCTCCTCAAGATCCTAATTCAATCTCTGTGGGTTTACCACCAGTTTTAAGTGTCTGTTTCAATGAAACCCACCAGGCTTTAGGCTGCAGACCCTGCAGCTTCAGCACTAATCAGCAGATTAGGATCACCTAGTTCTTCTCATGAGAGAAAAAATCTTCTCTCTGAAGATCTGTGACAGAAATGCATGAATGACAAAAATGCATCTTCCAGTGCAAATTTATAAGCCCTCTGAATACACAAGAAATCACACACTCAGGTTATGTGGTTTGCAAACTAGGAGGAGCACCTGCCATTGTGGAGTTAACTCTGAACAGTTTGGAGACATCCATAAGCAGGAGGAGAAGTTGCATAAGCCATAAATAATGTCACAAGTGATTGCCTAGCTCTGCTGAGTGCAAAATGAAGATTGTTTTTGGAGCAGCACAATCATTTGTACTACCATTGGCAACACAATATCTTTTAGATAGAGCCCTGTTTCTCTTGCAGCACCAGTGAAACACAAATGAAAAAAAGAATTAACATTTTTCTTTTTAAATGGTTCAGAACTAAGGTCCAAATATGTCTTCTGAGGGCCAGGTAAGGGTGGGAATGGTTTCATCTAATTGTTTCAGTACACGCAGTTGAACTGATCACCTGGGGCTTCACATACAGTTAACAGGGGGAAACAAAGCTACAATTCATCCGCACGGAGTCATTCCTGTACAGAAAGGGGAGATGAATTGTGGCCTAGACTCCTCTGTCTGTTTTGTCAACTGTAATAGGTGACCAGCTCAGAGGAAACACTATCTGTATTTAGTTTACTGAATCTGACAATGGGAAATGCCAGAAACGTAGTCTTCTGCCTGTCCTAGAAGGTCTCTGATACAAATACAAGGCTATCTGCCAGCCAGACTGACCACAGAACACTTATGTCACTCCATGTTCTGAGGTTGGTTTGTTCATGCAGCTTTGGTCAACTTCAGAGAAGCACAGAGAAAAGTCAACAAAGGCCAGACTGGGACTGTCCTTAGCCCTTGCAACTGTGTCCATCTCAGAGAGATGCTTCTTTGATTAGGAGCACTAAATGGATCCTATAAACACAGATGTGTAACCAGCCAGTTACATCCTCAGCTGTCCCCAGGTGAAAATACCCAGCACAGAAAACGAGATATGGGTCAACACACCCAGCGCTGGAGTCAATCCAGTGTTAAAGATGGATGGATTCCCCCTTCCACATTCACTTCTAACTGAATTGTACTTAACTAAAATCACCTGCTCAGTGCCTCCTCTCGAGAATAAACTCAAATGATGCCTAGAAACAAATGTACTCCTTAAAGGAGAATCAGCATTGTGCTATAATAGAAAAGATTTTTCTAATCACTCCATCAGTAATTATAAAGAATAGGATATTACTAATTAAAATGTGAAAGTATCTTATGCAGGGTATAATAAAAAAAGGTAATTAACAATCAAAGGGAAACCAGTACCTTGCCACCAATATGCATTAGGCTTCAAAAAACAATAGTACTCAACTTTAGTACAGCACTTGTCATCTGTAGATCTGAAGGCACTCCTATGTGGGGAAGCACTTATCCTGTGTCCCGTTTTATCACTGGAGAAACCAAGGCAAGTTTACACAACCTGTGAACAGTTATGCAGCAGGTTGACGGCAGAGCTTCCTTTGCTTTGATCCCTTTACTGAGGGTGACAAGGAACGTTTCAGCATTTGAATGAATGTAGTGATTTTAGGGATTTGTTTTAGTGTGTATGTGTATGAACAGCTAATTTAGCTGATATTTCAATATTAAAGCAAACAGTAAGGAACAGTCTGTTCCTTGCCATGACTTCTGAGGTCTGTTTAATGCTAAAGAAGCGTGTCTCGTGTGCTTAAACAACAGCATCAGAGGGTAATTTCCTGATGGAAGAGATAATAAAATCACAGAGAGCAGCAAACAGAGGTACTTCAGTCCTGGAGACAACAATGAGTCACTTCTAAAATTACTACAGAAAAAGTTTCCTTCTCCACTATTATCATCAAGTCACAGATTATCAGAGGCTGGGGAATGGAGTGAGGTTTCAGTCTCTGTTCATCCTCTTTCCCCCACACTTTCTCTAAGCATCCACCACCAGCCACTAGTGGGTGTCGGATACAGACTCAGATTTACCTCGTCTGGCTCTTTGTATAGCTCCAGGGAAGAAGACAGGAGGCAGCTCCGTCCAAACTGTCTTCTTCACACCCACTGCAGCCATACTGCACCAACTGTGTGCTAGGTTCAGAGTGTAAAACAATGATAGCAAAGTCTGGTTTTAATGTAAGAAGCATTTCCAGGATGCATAACTATTCACCATTCTTCTGCTCCAAAATTTTTACTCCCAAATGTCTGAAAATGTAGTCTGGGTTCCTTATTTCTGCTTTTTGTATGTGCCCTAAAAGCGGCAGCATTTTGATCACTTTCTGAAAAAAACAAACAAACAAACAAACAAACAAAACAACCAACCCCCCCCCAAAAAAAAAAACCCAAAAACTAAACCCACAATTAAATAAGTCATCCCAAATCAAAACCACGAGGAACAGATTTTCCCACTACACAGTATTAATCTTGCTAAAGTAGGGGAGCTCCCTTCTTTTGTACAGCTCTTCTGGGAGTCTCTGCTTGGTTGTGTTGGAAATAAGTGCTATAATCTGGTTAGAAGGTTTGGTCATGGTTTTGCTCAGTGCCCACTGGAGGCCTCCCAGCAGCATAAGAAAAAATTATTTTTGTCACTGACAGATGGAAACAAATCAGGTTGTCCCCAGAGAACTAGCTAAGCTCGCTGCTCTGGAGAAGGGATCCCCTCTCCCTACTGCTCCACATACACTGGTGTCCCATCAGCAGCCACCAGTGTTTTCCCAGAGCTTTGCTACCAGCAGTGTAAACCATGAAATCTCTCTGTTCAGGATCGTATAAAGTCTTTTCTCTGCCTTTTTCATCAGGGAAGTACCAGGGAATCAGAGGGTTGACTCCAACTCTCAGGAGATTTCCACACTGGGGAACACATAGTGGGGGTGGGGACCATAAAGACCCCAAACTTTGCTTCTGACCCTATAGCAAGAAGGAAGGCAAAGGCTGGGAGGTACCATGGGTATGGTGAACTGACATCTCAAAACAGAGGGATGACTCTCACCCTCACTGGGTCCCCATCCTCGTGCCGGTGCTACGGGCTGCCCTTCTGGTGACTGCGTGATATTTTTTCCCTGCTCTCTTTGTTCCAGCTGATGCAGCAGCAAGCCGCGATCATGGCTTCGGTGGCTCAGGGTGGCTACCTGAACCCCATGGCAGCCTTTGCTGCGGCCCAGATGCAGCAGATGGCGGCTCTGAACATGAATGGCCTGGCAGCCGCCCCCATGACACCAACCTCAGGTAAGAGGCTGGAGGGATGGAGAGGGCAAAGGGCAGGAAAATCTGTCCACATCCCATGGAGACCTGGCAGGTCATGATAGATGACAGTTTCTCTTCCAGTAGGTGTTTACTGAAATGTTGGTCGTGTTGGTGAAGGCTACCAGAAGAGAGGAGTTCAGCTGACCAGTTCATTTTGTGTGAGGGAGGGAAAGGGGCACAGAAAAGACATTACTACCTCTTCCAGGGCTGGGTCCAACTGGGGATCAGCATCTGTATCATGAAGTAGTTGTAAGGGCAAAGTCAAATGGCACACCAGCAATGAGCTGTTGGGCTAGCTGAGCCTCATGCTGAGAGGAGAGCTGTGAAGTGAGCGAGAAGGTTGAGACCCACTAGAGCTGGGATAAAATAGGATTGTTGGGGAGGAGGAAGGATGCTGGCCGAGAAGGCACCGGAAAGGGCTCTTAGCCATGACCCTTTCCTCTCAACCCTACACCTTACGCAACTTTTCTCTTAGCTCTGAGCACCTTCCAAATGGCACAAAACATCCCCCCAGTGACCTACACTGGTTTACTGGTACTGCATATAGATGTCCAAGCAGTCAGTGGTGGTGCTGTCACAGCCAGGCTGGTCCTAAGACAAACAAGGTTTGTGGTGAGGTGCAATATCATTAACAAGATGAGCTATGACTCTGGGACACATAAGCCTTTCCCCTACTGTGAAATAGGACAAGAGGTTCTCAGGAAAGACTTCTGGTACTGCCTGGACTGAACTTTGTTGACAGAGTTTCTGGTCACTGGAGTAGAGAAGTCCGTGAAGGGCTGCCAGGATCTGTCTAGGCTGTTAGGTGTCACAAGAAGCCCATGCTAAGAGCTACAGTATGTGATTCAGTGGGCAGACAATTAAGCTGAGATGGAAACAGGACTGGATTTCCTGGGGCTTGAAGCACAAGGAAATCATTTGGGCAGGAACACAGGACAAGGGACCAGAGGGGCTGGTAGTCATGGAGTGGCATGTGGCCTAACAGAGGGGAAATAGGTTAGCAGGGAAAGTGGGGCCAATCGATGAGAATTTGGGGCCAATTGATGAGAAGTGAGAATTTGGAGAGCTTTGCAGTATGCGCTGAGTCTGGTAGGGGAGCAGAGACCTCAAAGGCACATCTTCAGAGGATCATTCTAAGGGACAGGTTGGGATAAAAGGGTCTCTGTGGTGATACAGGTTGTTCTTATGAGAGATGCTGGAGATGGGATTGTGTTCAGAAAGGTATATTATACCAGTGTCCTTGTGTGAGCCCTGAAGCATCAAACCAGCCTGGAGGGGACCAACCTGACAAAGGTCTGTGGTGAGACATGGGAGGAATGAGCTATGCCTGAGCCAGCTGTGGTGGAGGCAGTGCCGGGCAGAGCAGTATCTGGGACTCCAGAGCAGAGCAGTATGAGAGGAAAGAGGCAGCTTTATTGCTGAACATGAAGAAGTCTGCACCAGCCCTGTAGCAGGAAAAGGGCGGACTGACAAAGCATCCAGGAAAGATGCCTCTTGGCTGAGAAACACTGGATGGCAGGGAGATAAGGCATTGCAGCAGCACAGGCTTGGGGTCCGTTCCTAATGAACTGAGTTCTGCTAACCTGTCTGCCAAAGAAAACTTCCCCATTCACACACAGCTTAGCATCTCTCTGAAATCTGTAGCTGGGAACAATGTCTGCAGCTACTGGATCAGATCTTTTCCTTTGCTTGTATTAGAATATGAGTGGGTGGAAAAGAGAGGGAAAAGACAACAGATCTTATTCCGCGTGAACTTATGGAACCCAAGGAAAAGTGCTTGACTTGAAAATCTTATACCACACATTTCAAAATAGATGTTTACACAACGATAAATGTATAAACAAGTTGATGGAGCTACTGCAAATCCAAATAGAAAAGTGTCTTAATTATATGTGCACCCTTTAAACCCGACGCTGGAAAGATTATCATATTTGCATTAGCTAGATTTGTTTTGTGTTGGTGGGAGCAGAGAGAACGTCAAACAAAGACTGCCTGGAATTCAAATGTTCTCAGGGCCTGAAAAGCTGAATCCAGGCAGTGGTTTGTGATGGCCCCACCTTAAAAGAGCACAAGCTCTTTTGCATATAAATAAGTCTTGAGAATGAGTGAGTTCTATGACATAGGTGTGTAAATACCAATACAACAGCCAAAATCTGTGCCTGCCGTGGTATACAGCACATAAAAAATATTCCAGTCCTTCTTCAGTGTAACCTCTGCTCCCCTTCTGGTGTGTCCAGTACTTTTTACGGACAGTTAAACTCTTATTGTCAGAATACAGAAGAGGAAACCTCATTTTTATAACTCGCTTTCCAGAGAACCCATGACTGATCATTATTGCAAATAAGGTGCTAGTTTAGATGATCCCTTGATCCTTTTCACAGTGGCAGATTTAGCACTCTCCTTGTGACATATTTTCAATCAGGGAGGCTATGCACATTGGCATTATTGCAGATCTACGTTGAATGGGTAGATTCCTTCATGAAAACCTCTGTAACAGGTTGTGGAAATGTCCATTGACAATTATTCCTTGGGTGAAATGTTTAGACTTTGAAATTACTCCTTGTATTACTACAACACTCACAAAGCTTGTGATAAGATGCATAGAAAATGTTTCACACAATATCTGAGCAAGCAAGCCTACAACACTAACAGTGATTTCTGAGTAGCCAGGAGATATCTGAAGCCTAACGTGAATTCTCCTGCTGGTTTTTGTTAGCATTCAGAAAGGCAAATGGAAAATGATCATTCTGCTTCATAGCAGGATTTCCAGTCATTGAAGTATATCTTTGTTCTGACTTGGAATGAAAATGAAACATTTCAAAGTTCTCTGAAAAACAGGCATTACAAAAAGTGTTTGGAACATTGGAAAAAAAAAAAAAAAAAAAAAAGTGTTTTGATCTTTCCTAAGCAAAAGAAAAAAATGTACTAGAAAAAGGACACTGGTAACCCAGAAGTCCTAGAGGCTTTGGAGGTTTGGCTGAGCGCAGTGCCTCTGTGCTGGTATCTTCGGGCCTCCTAATCCAGCTGTTTTTCTGTGCATCTTGCCTCTAGGAGAGTAGGTTCCTTGGGACATGACCATGAGTTCATTCAGGCTCATGAGTTCCTGTGGGAACTAGGAATTTAAAGAGTTTTGGCTCAAGGCAAATCTAACAGACTAGAGACAAGATCTGTCTCACCTGGCTTCAGCCATACAAAAGTTAGACATCTAGTTTAAACTAGTCACGGGGTTTGCCTACAGACAATGGACTGCAGTAGGCAGTCCCAGTGGGTAATTCAGACCATAAAAATTTGATGCTGTTTGCTGGCATTTTCATAGTTGCCCATCAAAAGTCAGATTTATCTCACACAACAGTCAGTAATTGTGAGGCAATTAAATCAACATCTCTGAAAATTTGGTTCAAGTTTTGCATTTCTCCCATCACTGTAATAATCTGGGTGAAAAGTGAGTCTGCAGGGGATCTGCCACTCTGTTAACTGCACAGAGGGGTTAGGAATGGAATTTCATTTAGGCTTCCTTCCTTCCTTTATTCTCTTCTCCCTCCATGTTGTAAATCTGCACCTGGTGTAGCTGCAGCAAGAGATCTCAAACCAAGGATGAAATCCATAACTGGCATTTACCACCATCGTTTGTTCTCTGCAGTGGCATTATGCCAGTTTACTCCAACTACATATCTAACCTCTCCAGGGGGGTTCTTTATAAGAAGAAAATTAAAGAATTGCAATGAATATGCCTAAACTTCCTTAGACATGCATAAAATAGCAAGCACAAATCCCTTGCTGCAATTTTAGAAAAAATTACTTACATTGTCTATGCAAATAAAGGAGAGATCCAGAAAAGCAACTGAAATTTTAACTAGCCTTTGTGATTTGCAAGCCAATGGCATATGCTAAGAGCATTGCCTTTGGACTTCAGTTGCCACTGCTGGCTCCCTGTACCTCCACAGAGGACATTTTTAAAGGCCAAAACCGTTTAAATAAGCAAAGGGGAAGAAGCAGCTTGGCTGCTTAGGGTATAAGAAAAGAACTGAAATATTGCCTGGTTTTGGGGCTACTAAAATCAGAACGTATTAAAACATCTCAAGCAACTATATTGGCTTTCTTAAAGCACCAACACAGATTCAAGCAGTCATTAAAGTGTGTTATTGGACAAACCCATCATGTAATGCTGCTATGGTGAAGAAAATTTCTGCAATTGGTTTAAAAAAGAAGTTACTGCAAAAATGGAGCTTTCAATCAGTAGTATACCCCAACACAGAAAGACATTGCTGAAGACAAGTTAGTTTAACACCCCACTGACAGATAGCAAGAGCAAAATATGATTTCATAGTTATTGAAAACTCATTTTTTGGTCCCCCAAAATATCCTGAATATGTTGCAAGAAGCACAGACTGCCTAGTCCTTTTAAACATACATGGGAACAGACTATGGAGTAGCACAGGGGTTTAATACTCCCCTCAGAAATTTAAGAAATTGCTACCAGTGGGTGAGAGGATCCCACCCAAAACATAAAGACTAAATTGTTCTTCTGAAATAGCATCATTACAGTCCCACACAAGATGTGTCTGGGAAGAAGGGAAGGAGTATGATTCCATGAAAGAAACAAATTTAGCCCAAATTTTGCACCTGTTGAGTGGGAGATGTCTTTTAAAACTCCACAAAATCAAGTTTGGGAGGAACAATGACACTAAAATAAGTATCATTGGCTGCCTTTAGGCTGCAAAAGTACAAATCAACTTGCCAAACCTTTCAAGGATCCTTGGTGCTGAGAAAGTCCAGAATGAATTTGTATATGGTCTGTATTTGTGAGACAGTGAGACAGAGCAGTCCTGGAAATTGGTACACCCACAAAGCTGACATCTCCGAAGATAAACTGAGAGGAAGTGCTGTAGAAAGGTGGGACTGAGAATTGCTTCTCATGCTAAATGATATTTAGGAAAGAAATGCCTGCTTATTTAGCAATTTAAACAGGTAATTCTCCAGGGAGAAAGCTGAGGGTGATGTTTCTATAGTTTTCTATTGTTTGACATTAGGCATGGGTCTAGTCTAGAGACTATGATCACCAAACAAAAGGTTCATTCTGTTGAAGAAAGTTTTACAGGCTTAAGTGCTTTCCAAACAGAGTAGCAGTGACAAGCAATCCCTTTCTTTACACAACAGGTTAGGAGATTTTTTTAACTTCTTGGATTATAAGAAGGTTTCTGTGTGGTGGTCACAGTGGTTGTGCAGCAGTTTTCTCCATGTAGTCATTGCTTCCAGTACTCACCAGCTCTGAGTTTTTGTCCTCTCTACTTGTAGGTGGAAGCACGCCTCCTGGCATAACTGCACCAGCTGTGCCTAGCATCCCATCTCCAATTGGGGTGAATGGTTTCACTGGCCTCCCGCCGCAGGCTAATGGGCAACCTGCCGCAGAAGCTGTGTTTGCTAATGGCATCCACCCTTATCCAGGTAAGCCAGACCAGTGCTGTGCCCACAACCTGCTCCTTCAGTCTGAGGGAGATTGTCCACATCCACAGGCTTTGTTTAGCATGAGCCACCTCAGAAAGATTATACCCTGTGCCATCAGGGCACTCTGTCACTGATGTAGTTAGGTCTTCCTCAGCTACAGTTGTTATAAACTTAAATCTGGATGATAGACATCAAGAGCATTTTGGAGGTGGAAAATTTTTATGCTGAAGAATTGTGTGCTCATCTACTGGTTGACTTGTCTGGTGAATACAATCAGGACACCCAGCGTGCTTTGCCTTAGCCAAAATTTGGTCTGAGGCCTGACAAGTTCATGCTGGCAGATCTCCTAGCAATACTCCCAAGGGTCTTGCTCCTGGCTAGCCTTGAAGGAACTGTGCTAAGCCCGTTTGTATCTCCTAGCACCCACCATTGGTATGTCCTGCTGGCATTCCCTACCAGCCGATGGCTCTGGGAGGATGATCCCAGAGGTTTTAAACTGCTCCATGCCTCAGACCATGTGCACACCCAGCAGGTGTTGGCCTCCAGAATGCTCACTGCATTCAAATCCTACTGCCTTATTATGAAAGTTCCCTTCATAGAGCCACAGAATGGGCTCAGTTTCACCCTTTTGTGGCACACCACCAGAGAACTGCTGCTGAGATTCAGACTGTGACTAGCTCAAAAGGTGCCAGCTCTGAAGGACTGACTGTGCAAGACCTGGCAGTCAGGGATATATGAGGGACATTAAAGGATACATACCTGCCTCTATACCTGTATTTATAAATACATGGACACTCTGAGGCTGTAATCACCAAGAATTCAGGAGTGTACAAGTCTTTAATGTGTACCAACATGTTTTCAGCATCCTCAGGATTTGAGATAGCCCTCTCCTTCAAGCTGTACTTCTGCTAGGAAGACATTCCTTACTATTGCTGTAGACATACTAATAATAACAATCATAAAAATAAAAATTTAAGTAAATGTTACTAATTGATCCTAGCCACCAGCTCAGGAGTATTTTACCCTGGGGCACTCATAGATTGATCTAGTCTGTTAGGAAATCAAACACTGAGTCAGATGCTTCACCGAAACACCTACAAAACCAAATTATTTTGACCTCAGCCAGTCCTGAAAACTCAGAAGATTCAACGTCACAGGGGACTTTATGAGCTACAGGGAAAAATATCACATAACGTAGAAATACAAAAGTCTTTTATCTGCTTAGAGTTCAGACAATGTCACTGAAAGAAGCCACCTTGTGAATGCAGCAAAGGAAAGCCCAGAAATACCAAGAGTATGGAAGAATTGTTATTATTGTCCCCACATACACTTTGTAAACATTTAGCCATGAGTTCAGCTTTAAGCAGAATTGAAATCAAGGCTTACTGTGCTAAAAGTTAGGCATGTATATACATGTTTGTAGTAGCTTAGAAGTATGAGGAAATCTTTGAGGCTTACAGAGGCATCAGAAAATTGCAGGGAGCCCTTAGTATGCTCAGTGAGTTCAACCACAGCACCAAGAAAGCACCCTGTCTTTAACATTATATAAAAATAGACATCTGTTCAACTTTCCATCTAAGTATGTACCTGTTTGCCTGTCTACCATTGCTCTGTTTATTCATCCTTTTTTTTATTTATCTAGCTCCTTTTAGCTAATCTTCTATGATCTATTTCTGCAGATATCAGACGAAAGATGATCTTTCTAGCTGAATCTTAATGACTTGAGCTTTTGTTACTATGTCTGACTACCCCCCATAATTAAAGAAAGCTTTCAGTTAGGTATTTCATCCATGATTATATAAAAGCCAGTGTCCTTAATCTGATTCTCTGAGTTTTGGAGAAACTTTATCAGACATCAATTCACAGTAAGTCCCTGCACAAACACCAACAGCCTAACACACTGAAAGGTGACAGTCATCCTTGGTTCACTTTGCTGCAGACAAAGGGGTTCCTTTCTGCCAAGAAAGCTGATATCCAAATAGTCTGCTTTGTGTAATGTTTGAATTTATCTCACTGTGTCTTCAGCAATATATTGGTCTTTCTTGGTGCTCAGCTTCCCTATAACTTAGTGACATCTTAAGTTACAGCAGAGTTGTAAATGGAACAGTGGCAGGCCAAACCCTCACCTGCCATTTTACTTCTGCCTGTCCCCATCAGCAGTGAAACCCTGCAAGCAAGCCCCTTTGTAGCAGTTCGGGTGTAGGACACATCATATATTTGCGCTGTCTTATTCTCTTCCTTCTCATAAGCATTTATGCACTCTCCAAAACTTTACTCCTTGCCATAGGCTTTATTGAGGCCTGGAGCTTATCAGCATAAAAAAAAAAAAGGATTAGACATTTATATGGGTAATGAGAACATCCACAGCCATATTAGACTGGATATAATGTAGAAAGGACACAAACCTTCATGTTTTATGATATAAGCCAGCCACTAATTGCTTGGGGTTAGAAAGAAATTTTCATCACTGGGCAGCTTAGTCCATCATTGTTCATTATGGGATTTTTCTCACTTTCCTCTGCAGCATTTGTTACTGGCACTGCCCTGTGGTTCTGCATGTCTGTGTTCTAAATGCAAGGGTAGAAATAAAATATTAAAGCTGAGCATGCAATTGCACTAACATTATAGAGAAGAATATGCCAGTTCCCATCTGAAGTCAGCATCTTCCAAACAACTTTCTTTTATGGTATATCTCTCATTCTAAAGCGACTAAGAGTGCTGCAGTATTATGTACATAACCATAGTCTTGCTATGATTATGACTTGCCATATATTGTTTAAAGTCTGAATTTTGCTCTCGGATACTCTTTCATACTCCACAAAAAACTCGAATGTGGGTTCACACCATTATATCCTGTAGCAGAATGTACTTTGCTGCCTGAAAATAACAAAACGGGACAATGAAAATCTGTAAAGCCATGACATTCACACCATTCAGACCCAAATAAATCCCATTAATTGTGCAGTTTGTCTACATGTCCACCTTTGTGCCTAGCTATAATATTTTTGATGTTGCATCTAAAGGACTCCAAAACATCACAATTTTTGCACTATAAAACCAGGTCCATATCATGTAACTGTATTTACTCTGTAGTTCCACTCTGTTTTATTCTGTCTTCCCCTGTGCTCTTTAAGATTCCCGTTGGAGCAGGGATACACACAGTACCCTTTAAGTCAGACTACTGAACCATCCACAGTTTTGAGGAAAGGGCAAGAGTAGGTCAAAGATCCCTACTCACTAGGTCTCTGATCACAGTCCTAGACCCTGCAGGAATTAGCTTTTTCTGTGGCTCTGGCCAGGCTATGGATCCTTGCAGTAATGCTAGAAAAACCATTCTTTGCAGACGTACTCTTTGTAAGCCATGCTCTCATCTTCTCCAAGCTCAGCCAGTATATAATGCCTCACAGTGCACTTTTTGGCATGGATAAATTAACAAGGGAGTAAATACTTCCCCTTCCACTAGTCTGAGCCCCTTTGGTGATATGACCTTTTTATGTATTAATTCCTGCCCTTTAGTCTTTCAGCTATTGAGCACGGCAATGTGTCACAACATATAGTGGGGACAAAGAGCATAATCTGTTGTGCCATGATCTTGTGAGTCACTTTGCAACAGCACAAGAACGTTTGCCATTTTCACATTAGCCACAGTAACAGGGATTGTGCTCTTCTGCCAAAGCTTCTTAGCCACACAGAGCTCAGTGCCTCTCTTGTAACAGTGTGTGATGTACAACAGTGGAGACCATCTGCGCTGGTTTCTGCTATGTCTCACACCATCAGCACTCTGCTCTCCAGTAACAGGTCTTGCCCTACTGGATTGCATTGTGAGGGGCTGGACAAAATGCTTACTCCAAAAATAAAGCCACCTTGGGAAGAGAAGAGGAGGGATATATGAGAAAACAGGGAGAGCAAAGGGCAGCAAACAAGAGAGAGAGAAGGGGTTGGCTGCCAAAGCAGATATATATCCGGTAGCATCCAAGAGCTCCCAAAAAACCTAATTCCTCCTCCTAGCTTGACCAGAGGCAGGGGTGGATCCAGTGGAGCCTCAGATGGGAAATGTTTCCAGGATGCTGAGTTCTTCAGTGCATTTGGTCTGGGCTTAGGTTGTCAAGGAAAACAAAGGCAAAGTTCCCTCGGTTGCTCATAATACATTAAAAACTTGTCATCTCATTTGTAGTTCTCAGGCACACAGTGGTTCTGTTTCTGACTGCCCACCACTGCCAGGACTAGCTCTGTCTCTCCTCTCTGCAGACACAGCAGAGATACCCCCACTCTCCCTTGCTTACATTGTGGGTACATCTGGGCTAGCAAGACAGCAAGCTCCACTTCATAGCCTATTTGGGGTCCAGTCCTCTCCAGTGAGGACTAGCTGTCAGTACGAATGGGCAGCCAAGCCTTCATGCCCACATGTTTCCAAGCCACCACTGAGATTGGCAGTAAAGGTGTCCCCCACGGGTGAATTCCTGTGCTGTAGAAACTCATGTCTTAGGAACTGAACCGAGACCGTCAAATCATTTTCCTTGGCTCAACAAAGAGCTATAAGGCAGAAACCAATTTCATCCATTGCCAGAAGAGACAGAATTCAAACTCCATCTGTAATTATTATCATTGCCCAAACTAATTTTGTAGGGGAGGAGTTGCCGGCATGCTAATAAGACAGCCTTATCTATTAGCTTGTCAATTAACTAGCAGTGCTGCTCTGGACCAGTCAGTCCAGGATCAGTCCTGACCACGATAGACACCATTCAGTGGCACTGGACAAGATCAGAGCTTCACTTGCACAGGTAGAGAAAAGGACTGACTTCCCCCACCCCAGCAACCACCCTGACATTTCAGTCCTGAAAGATGTCAGATGAGTTCAGAGAGGAGGTGAATCAGGAGAACTGACCTGCCTGCACCTGTAGAAGGTCCAGGATGAAAACCAAGCCCCACAGCATTCAGTCTAGACATACACCATGCCCTAGAAATGTACCTGGCTCAGTAGCCCGGAGGCTAAGTTACTT